GGTCATGTAAATACATGCCTTTACTTTAAATTTATTTGTTAATGCTTCATGAAAACTTACGGAAGTGCCAGGATTCCTAGCAGATTCAATCCTTTTTGAAGATGCTCAAAATTGTAACATAAATCATCGTATGTAACCAGAAATTAGGCCACTTGCTTTGCATTTGAAAGTAGCTTCTATGACTGGGTTTTGCATTAGAAAATAGCGTTTAGAAATTTTCATAGGATTATCCGGGTTGTTTTGTAATATTCAATCCATCCTCTATCAAAGTCTATTGTTCGTTCACTAGCTCTGCTGCTGTATTGGACTATGATATCCTCAACCCGCCAGAATCCTACAACGAGGCGATATATGCAAAGGTAGGGGCGCCTCAAAAATTTGCTTAGGACGATTGGAAATCTTTAAAGGTTGAAATTTTAACAGTATATACGAAGGAAATGTCACAAATGACTCCATTTCAGATTATTCTGAAGTTGTATGCCAAAGAGTTAAAACTTAAAAACAAAATCTCACAAATTGCCGACAAATACTGAGCTTGTTCCCGTTGCCGGAACTACGTAAAGCATCCGAAAATGTACAATCAACGGAAAGTGAACGGATGTACCAGATAGCGGTGGATAAATTCAGGGATGTACACTGAAATGCCATAATCCAATATTTTCCTTATTTTGCGTTCAGGGGTCTAGTACTCTCATGCACGGATATTTAGGAAGTAACGAAAGGTGCATCAGACATAGCAGAGTATGTCATTTACAGCAAAATTATCAAAATAGAATTGGTTCTCTATTCTTTTCTGAACATCTACAGCCTCATTCAAATCTCTGACCCTATCTAGAAATTGCTATTAAGGAGTCAGCTTGCAGCATCTTTTTAAATTCCTACAAATCCCTAGAACACTCTTTCAAATCCTATGCTTATCTCGCCTTTATAACCCAACACAGTGAGTTATGCACCATAAATGGTAAAACTTTTCTAAAACGGAATTTGATTGAACGCCCTTTCTTATACCTGTTCAAAACACCCCATTACACACCGCAAGTTCTTCATAGTTGGTTTTTTGTATAATTGGATAGTGATTATTAGCTATAGAGAGATTTCTGCTGCTTGGTCCAACAAGTGTGCAGTCGTTAGGCATTAGTTGAGTGCACTATAACA